TTATCAATAAATGTGTCTAAGCTGTTATTAAATAGTTTTTCCAAGATTTTTGAAAATTGTGACAACAGAGAAACCGGTCTATAATTTGTGAAGTTGGACAGCAGGTTCTGGTTAATGTTTATGCCCAGTTCATTGTATAGCTAAGACGAATGAGGGAGACATCACATTCCTCTCAGCTACAGCCCAACCAGTGCTACACGTTGGAGCCCAACAGTGATATTTAAGTTTCAGTAATCTGATAAAATATACAGGTAGATAGTTATATTTTTATATGGATCTATTAGACAGGGTTTTTTCAGAGAACTCTGACCCAGATACTGGTCACAGGGCTTTTTACAGCTGAAACACTGACTTGCTCTCCGTGGGACACACTAGACACCCTTTCCGCTGTTTTCCATTGGTGAGGACAATTGATTGTTCCTAGCTTGACTTCCGACCCACTGCATTTGCTGTGTGAGCCCAAAATGTGTGACTGAAGTCTAATCGAGTGCAGGTTTGTTGTTTGGCTGTGTGATGACTGAGAGATTGTCTTAGGATGGTTCCAGACTGGCAGATTGCAGGGGATCATGTGAAACACCTGTCAGTAATGAGTGGATTGAAACCCTTTGTATTGAAGAAGTGAAAGGGACACAGCCTGGGCTTTTCATTCCCCTTGTGCCGAAGAAACCCTGAATAAAGGAGGATGTTTTGAATATGCTGGACTTTGGTTTAACACACCCCATATTCAACTTTTTCTCTTCAGTGTAGCTGTTGTTTGAGCATGATGTTTCTTACCTTAGGGTTATTATTGTTGGAGCCTTCCCTCCATCGTTGTTTCTAGTCGTTCTTGTTCCTGATGCTGACTCAGCCAAGTCGCTTTAGACACTGACAGGTTTTTCAGGTGAGCATCAGTTTGAAACAAATTGTCACATGCTCATACTGAAGTCACATAATGTAGATGTTCGTACCTTAACAGCTGAATCTGCACCTTGAATCTGTGAGAATTGATCAATTGTGATTGCTGGAGCCTTCTGTTGGTCACGTGATCAGATTTATTTGCCCTGAGTTTTGTCTCCCAGGAGCTGGCCTTCCCAAGTGAATCAGTGCTCAGCAGAGATTGTGTGGAAGTGTTGAGATGCTCAGCTTTGGTTCTCACAGTGCAAAAACATCAGATGTGCGTCACATTCGATGGAAGAAAAACATTATTTTTAGATGATACCATCTCTTCAGAAATGAGTTCTTTGGCTGCGGCGGTCTCAGTCAGAACAATGTCCAGTTTGTCCTGCTGCAGCCAGTGTGTGCCAGTGTCTGTGTTCACTTGTTGGCAGATTCCATGCATCATACCCTGTCATACTCTCGCTCTGTGGCCGACTCTTTGTCCTGTAGCATCTGCATGGCCTGTAGGGCGTCCGCAGTTTGATCTCTTTGTGCTGCTGGTTGTGAGTGAGCCGGAGGCTGCTAGTTCACTTACTATTACAGCAGATATTTCCACCAGGTAATAAGTCGTTCCTGGCTTTATACATAAACACAGCAGTCTTATATCCCACTAAATCAAAAATTTTAACAATTTAGACTGTATGAAAGCTCCATTGGTGTGATCCCTATACCCCATCTTATGCACAATTCTTATCGCTCTTTTTTGTAATATATACAATGGTTGAAGTGAGCTTTTGTATGTATTTCCCCAGTTTTCAACGCCATACTCCAAGTATGGTAAAATCAATGAAGAATACAAAATACGTAGTGCTTTCCCGTCCAAAATATATCTAACCCTTG